TAGGTACTCTGGCACTCAGGGTGCAGACTAGGCTGGCAGTCTTGCCATGTTGGGGACAGACCCGTGAAATAAGCTCTCATCATCTTTACTCTGACTAGTGACTATTCTCCATCCCTTACTCACAGTCCAGTGGTCAGACCTTACTCAGAAGACTAAAGGACTTGAATGAGCTCCTCAACCATAGGTATTCTGCCCAGTTTCTCAGAGGACCCTGTGCACTTCCAGAGACACATTCTTTCCAAGGTCTACACAAAGGAGGAACAAAATAAAGAAAACAAGTGTCATTTTCTTTAACAGTTTCTTTAGAATAAGCCTTAATCTTCATTACTTGGGTTTTTTTTCCCCTTCATATCACACGATTGTCGCTTTGACATTTGTAGAGATGGAGTCAGCACTCAGTCCAGGTAGGTGAGTGGGTTTGAACAGCAAACATTTACCTCAGATGTTTCTGCAGATAGGGAGTCTGAGATCAGGGGCTACCCTGGACTGGTTCCGACCCTGGCTCCCTTCCAGCTTGCACTGGATTGATCTTCTTTTTTTTTATTGTTTTTTTTTTTTGTTTTCTTTTTTATTTTTTTCCCTTTTCTTTTTTTTTTAAATTTTTTATTGGATGTTTTATTTACATTTTATATGTTGTCCCCTTACCCCATCCCCCACCCACCCAGGAACCCCCAATCCCCTCACCCTTCCTCCTTCTTCTCTGTGGATGTAACCTCTATCTATTCCCCCACTCTCACCTCCCCACCCTCAAAATTCCCACCCCCTGGTGCGTCCAGCCTTCATGAGATCAAGGTTCTCTTCTTCCTCCTATGCCCAGCAGGGCCCTCCACTCTTACATATTCAGCTAAAGCCCTGGATCCCTCCCTAAGTGCTCCCAGGCTGGTGGTTTATACCCTGGGAGCTGTGGTTGGTTGGTATTGTTGCTCTCCTCATGGTGCCACAAATCCTTTCAGCTCCTTCAGTCTTCACTCTAACTCCTCCATTGAGAACCCCATGATCAGTTCAATGGCTAGTTGTGAGCATCTGCCTCTGAATATGTCAGACTCTTGAAGACCTCTGAGGAGACATCCATATCAGGCTCTTATCAGCATGCACTTCCTGACTTCCACATCAGCATCTACCTTTGGTGACTGCACATGGGATGGATACTCAGGTGGAAAGGTCTTCATACGGCCCCTCCTTCAGTTTCTGTCCCTCACTTTGTCTCCATATTTGCTCCCTTGAGTATTTTGTTGCTTTTTCTAAGACGGACCGATTCACCCCCACTTGGTCTTCCTTCTTTATGAGCTTCATGTGGCCTGTGAGTTGCATCTTGGGCATTTCAAGGTTCTGGGCTAATATCCAATAATCAGTGAGTGAATACCATGTGTGTTCTTGTGTGATTGGCTTACCTCACTCAGGATGATAATTTCTAGTTCCATCCATTTACCTAGGAACCTCTCGAATTCATTGTTTTTAATAGCTGAGTAATACTCCATTGTGTAAATATACCACATTTTTTGAATCCATTCCTCAGTTGAAGGACATCTGGGTTCTTTCCAGCTCCTGGCTATTATAAATAAGGCTGCTATGAACATAGTTGAGCATATGTCCTTGTTATATGTTCGAGCATCTTCTGGCTTTATGCCTAGGAGTGGTATACCTGGATCCTCGGGTAATGCTATGTCCAATTTTCTGAGGAACCGCCAGACTGATTTCCAAAGTGGTTGCACCATCTTGCAGTCCCACCAACAATGGAGGAGTGTTCCTCTTTCTCCACACCTTCGCCAGCATCTACTATCACCTGAGTTTTTAATCTTAGCCATTCTGACTGGTGTGAGATGGAATCTCAGGGTTGTTTTGATTTGCATTTCCCTGACGACTAAGGATACTGAACATTTCTTTAGGTGCTTCTCGGCCATTCGAGTTTCTTCCATTGAAAATTCTTTGTTAAGCTCTATACCCCATTTTTAATAGGGTAATTTGGTTGTCTGGAGTCTAATTTCTTGAGTTCTTTGTATATATTGGATACTAGCCCTCTATCAGATGAAGGATTGGTAAAGATCTTTTCCAAATTACAACTTCATAGGCAGGGAAAGTGAGAGAGAAAACTCTGGAACTTCATTTAAAGGGCCCTGCCCTTCCACAGGTCCCCACCTCTAAATATAGTCCCATTGGATTTCTCTGGATGAAAGGAAGAAGCTATTTTAATCCGGCGCACACATGGAAGTAGCAGTGACTGCTTTCACTGCTCAACAATGTGGAAAGCGGTATGCCGAGTGCCATATGGACAGATGAAGGTGTCACATTCACATCTACTACCACACATTTCTGCTGTAGTCACTAGATAAAAGAACACCAGACACACGAGGACAAAACAAACCCCGTGAACAGAAGCTTGATCTGTGGTAATACTTGTCTATGTGTTTCGAGGGCTCCCATTAAATGTAGCTTTGAATTTCAGGTTTGTTGGGCTGAGATCATAGGATACACCTTTCAACTTTGCACTTGACACGTGAAGGGTATTTAACTTCTTACTAGTGGGGAGGATTCTGGTCCTGCTTTAACAAGATTGCCTCTTCCCTATGTATAGCTGGGTCCTGATGTTGCTTCCTGTTTTCCAACATCAGCCCAAGACTCGTGGCTTTCCGTCTAACACATGGGAAACCAATTCTGATCTCCAAGTCTGCTCTTTGGATCACTGTGGCTGTACTTTACCTTCTGGAACCCTATTTTGAACCATACCAGGTGCCTAACCTTGTAGTTAGGGCTGATTATTCATGAAGTTTACAAATATTTCACTCAGGATGAAATTACTTGTGATCATTTCTAGGTAAACTCATATAAACTAGAAACCAAAGGATAGTTAATTCTGAGGAGGAATATAGCATGAATCAAAATTGTCTTAAATAATACAAGCAGCAAATATCTGTCATTTTTATGCACAGAGCATCCTATTTTGAGTAGGAAATTATTCTTTTCCCTGTAAGTCCTAATATTTCTGAGATTATAAACAGTAATTAATGATTCAAATCTATAATTGATATGCTTCAGATCATAGCAGAATTCTGGCATTATTTTATTCACAAATGTCTAATTGTTTAATTAATCTAACAATTTATTCATGAACTGATTTAATTTGTGGCATTATGAAACTTCACGTAGCTCACTAAAAATTTTCAAAATTGCAATAGCTTAATTTTGTGCTCTATTAACACAATAATGCAAGCATGGAAACAGATTCCCTTTTAGACAGCAAATTTTACTGTAGCTTCCAGTCTTCCTTTTTTAGACATTTGTCATGTATGATACTAAAAGGATAATATGATCTCATTTAGAGAAAAATATTTTAAGTAGAAAAAGGAATGAGTGTGCAAAGATTAATTTATTTAGGGTACATTGTAATTTCATTATAGTTTCTGAAAGAAAAATAGGTATGCTAGTGAATTAAATTACATGAACTATGATTTTTAGTGAGGAAAAAACAGAAATTCAGATGATCATTGTCAGTATCATTTTATGTGAAACTAGTGATTGGAAGTAATGGCCCTCACATTGTAGGACCTTGAGGAATTCCCAGCTCAGTGAAGGGGAGAGAAAGTTATTTACGCTAGTGTTTCAATAAGCATACAGATTTCACTCTCCAATCTTTAGAGTGTGAGTGCTGCTCTCTGGGGGAATGCAGTCCTTCCATGGTGTTCCAGAACATGAGAAGCCAAGCAAGCAATGGAGAGAACAAAAAGAATTGTGTAATCATGGTCTAAGATCACAAACAAGACTCTATGCCACCAGTTGATACCTTTTCTAAAAGTTGAAGGCCTGCGATTGGCACATCTTTAAAGGCTGTGCTGGGCAGTGGCTGATAGCTGGCCTGGGCAGTGTCATTCGTTCTCCGCTAGATGCTCTGCAACTATTAGCCTCCACTTTGTCCAGAATAAACCTATCTACCTCAATCATGAAGCTTTCTAAGCTAGCTTTCTGCATTGTGTGACACTGTGTGAAAAGATACTAGTTACAGCAAGGCACCCCCAAATTGAAACTTTCTCTTAAAACCCAAACACAGTGTAATGGAGGAAGTAGTCACACATAAATACTAATAGAAGACCCATCTCATCAAGAGTAAAAGCATTCATACTCTTATGAGATAACAATTTTCTTCACTAAATAGATATTTTCACTTATTGATAACAAATAATAGGAATGATGTAGCCTGTGGGTGGTACCTTCCCAATTTGGGGTTAAACCACTTTGAAAGGCAGCTTGCCTTCACTTGCCCCCACAATTTTAATGGGTGCCCTTTAACCAGACAATTTTTCTAGTGAGAAATTTTCTTCTAGAATTGATCTACAGCATGCAAACGCGTGTGTGCACACATACAAAAATATAATAACTATTAGTTGTATTAAACAGGGAGAAATATGTCCAATATTAAGAAATTACCTTGATTTAACATAATATGAAAAGTATGGTTTATTTATCAATGTTATACGATCCCATACATTTTAGAAAATTATATCATTGTGTATCTTTCCAAAGGAAAAATTACATATTAATGATACACAAAACTGAAGAAATATACAGAGACATGACAGACTTCAGAGCTACTTTTAACCAACTTAGCATCTGTGTGCATATCTCTTGGTTTATAAAATGTTGCTAATCAATGCCATGTATCTTGTCAGACCTTAATCCATATCTATAAAATTAAAATGATGGCTTTCTTAGAAACCACTTTATGTAGATTTTGAGATATATATATATTATATTATATTATATTATATTATATTATATTATATTATATTATATTATATTATATTATATGGAAAATTTGTGACCTCTGTATCTATTGATAATATAAATCTGAGTGCTAAGAAACTAAATGTCATAATGTTTCAAAGTAGTTGTGTTTAATTTATCATTCCAAAATAGTATGAGGACAAGAAGTCTGGGTAAACACTACAAACTTACTGATGCCTAATTCCTTTCTCTCGTTTTTAAATGTGTTCCTCTTGTATTCACAGAGTTACTGGTGGTGAACTGTTTGAAGACATAGTGGCAAGAGAATATTACAGTGAAGCTGATGCCAGGTAAGTGGCTTGCCCTGAGCAAGAGGAAGACACATCCTTCTCGTCAGCGACTCTTATTCTGTAGACACATGTATCAGTTTAACTATATCACGGCCCAGGCTTGAGAGTCTCACACTACCACCTTGGACTTCTCATTATGATAAGTCATCAGGAAAGTTTCTCTCTTTCAAAGATCTCCAAGATGACTTTTAGAAAAAAGAAAAACTATACATTTATTTGAAGTCTTACTTTCAATAGATTTCCCCTTGAGGTAGCCATGTTGTGAAGACTTCATAGCTACCATGGCTGTTGTACCAGTGGGGCAGAGCACTGCTCTCATGACAGGAAGTTCCACCGCAAATCCACATGTGTCTAGTCAGCAGACGGGACCAGACTGCAGAAGGCCTCAGTGTCCCTGCTACAGTGTTACTTTTAGCATGGAACACTTTGCACATATCATTATACCCATTGGGAGGCAGATGTGAAAAGCATTTGCTTTGCTATTTCTGAGGCTTCATAAGTAATTTCCCAATTTTGATAGTTAACAAAAGGCTCATGGAAATTTTACAGAGGGCTAGTATTTTTATCTAATTTTAAATTTCCTAGGCTACTCAAAGATCTTTTGGAGTAAAATGGCATTAATCTACTTATCTTGACCTTCTTAGACTTGATGGTGTTAATTCTGCTTCTATATTCTATAATTTTCACTTATGGTGAAAAATGTGACGGGGATCTATTAACTCATTGGAACATAATTGACGTTGTTTGAAAGTTGAATCATTGGCCGTCTGCCCAATCTCTACTGCTCACCAAGCTGCTCAAAGCTGTAGCAGTATAGGGACCCTCAGTGATACTCAGCTGATGTTGAAGTTCCTCCAGAGTAACACATGATATGTAAAGCCCACTTTTCACCTAAGTATGGCACCTGCCTCTATACCTAGCCCTTTAGAGTCGGAGACCAGAAGGTCAAGAATTCCAGGCTGTGCTAGAGAGTTGAAACACTGTCTTACTGTCTTAAATTAAAAATAGGAACAAAGAAGTTATTTTTCAAAAAACTCAGCTTTCAATTTCTACTTTTTTTTTTTTTTTGGTTTTATGCCACTACGTTTTCTTGGCTTAATTCTGGTGTTCATGGGATTCTGTGTATTTGACTGTACCTGACTGCACTGTAACCTATAATGGACATTGTATTGTTAGAGGCAAATTCTATTTGGCCTGTGCTACGATGAGTACTTCCTTAGTTTTAAAATCCTCACATTTGTTCTCAGGAAAGGGACCTAGAGGAATTTGAAAACAACTAATTACCCACTTGTTAAGGATGGGCAATAATTTTAATCACAATATCAATGAACATGGTAAGTTTGGAGCTGGAGAGACAATTGAACAGTTAAGAGCACTTGTTGCTCCTGTATAAGCCCCAGGTTTATTTCCCACATAGTGACTCATAGCTAGCTACCTGTGACTCCAGTTGCAGGTGATGAGATGTCTTCTTCTGATTTCTCTGAGCACCACGTACTCATGTGCACATACCTACATGCAGACAAATACTCACCCATATAAAATTAAATAAATAAATCTAAAAATAAAAAGAAATGTAGAGGAAATTTAATCTATTTTACCTTTTTAAGTTATGAGAAACATTGTTTGAAAACTTGTGGTTGAAATGAATCAGAGACTATTTTAAATACTGGCAAGCAGTGTAGCTAACAGGACGAAGCCCACAGATTGGACCACTTTGTGTGTTTGCCTGTATTAGTTGGGAAACTAATTCTTGAAAATTTTTTTAGGATAAACATCCCACATGAAATCAAGAATAATTCTATTGCCAGATATGACCATGAAGAGGCTGTCTCCTCACAACCTTTTAAAACTTTGTTTGCTTTAGCCCTCAAGAACTTAGGCATGAAATCCATCCTCGCTAATAAAGAGCAGTATAGTTAATTTGATATTAATTATTTTTTTAAATTTTTGTCATAGTTCAAGTATGGTTTTTTTTAGTGTTAGATAAAACAGAGATATTCCAAAAGAGCGTATGTTCACACAGAGATAAAAGAATCACACAGTTAACAAAACAATGAGTAATACCTAGATAAACTATGCAGTCAACACACTCCAGTGAGGCTGCTTTAGTGGCCATATCAACCGATTTGGAGCCAAAGAATCACAATCATCATGGGTATTTTTGATATTTGTATTGTTAAAAATAAGACAGTGATTGCTTTTATCCAGTTCAGTAATTTCCTGTAGAATGTCATCATGTTACACATCAAGTGGCTGCAATGTTATCAGCTTGTGCATGTTTCCTTGGTTTGGAGAACACCTTTTGTTTGAGCACAGTCAGTGTGTACAAAGACTTGTCTGTGTGGTGTGTTCTGCATTATTGGGTGTCAGGTGGCAGCATACTGGGGACTTGTGACTACAAAAGATTTCCTCAATTTAATTATCAGTTGACTTAGTATCAGGAAGCTTCTAATAAGAATAGCGAGCCGGGCAGTGGTGGCGTATGCCTTTAATCCCAGCATTTGGGAGGCAGAGGCAGGCAGATTTCTGAGTTCAGGGCCAGCCTGCTCTACAGAGTGAGTTCCAGGACAGCCAGGGCTACACAGAGAAACTCTGTCTTGAACCCCCCCACCACCAAAAAAAAAGAATAGCGTCAGTGATGCCTTTTAACATGGTAATAAGTAAAATGTCCTTCAGCAAAGTGTATGGAAATAGATTTAAACAATTACCAGTCCCCAGAGGATCTTAAACTTATTTGCAAGCTCCTTGGCCCCTCCTGAGTCTTCTCACAGTGAGAGGGGTTTATTTTATGTCATGGGTCAACTTTCGATCCCCCACCTCCTCTTGGAGCCTGCATTCATTTTCTTGTCCCTGTGTTGTACAGGAAGCACCCCTTCCAATCACTGGTACGTGTGTCCTTCCTCTTTTTTTGAAATCCCTGTTTCACCTCCCACTTCATCTGTGTCTGCCCTCTCTCGTTTCAACCTGTTTACTTGTGACCTCAGATCTTAAACAGTTTAGATTGTGTATGACAAACACGTGGCAATTGGACATCTCTAGATAATCTTCTGAGACCATTTTGGGAACTAAACCAACAAATTTTCTTTCTGAATATGAACCTCAACTTCTCTCATGTATGATTTAATCCGTAGACCAACAACAGGAAGCACAGCTTAAATTGTTTTGTCTGACTATGTCACAAATTCTGTGTTGGATGTCATTTTAGTAAAAACCAGAATTAGCTTTATTCAACGTTATTTAATGCTGGTGTAAAGCTAAGAAGAGTGTGAATGAACATAATTTTGTTCGTTTGTTTTGTTTTGTTTGAACCTTTGTTTTATTTTTTATCCAATGTGATTATGTGCCTTTAAAATGTTCTCCCTCCCACTCTGCCCTTGTATCTTTGCAGTCATTGTATACAACAGATTCTAGAGAGTGTAAATCATTGTCACCTAAATGGCATAGTTCACAGGGACCTGAAGGTCAGTATATGGAGTCCATAAATCTGAATCAAAGAAGTTTCTTTGGTTTTATTCTTCTGGGGAAAGGGCAGAGGTTGGGGGGTATTTCAAATGATGTTTAAAATGTCTTTCCCAATTCTATCTTGAAATGAATAATGAATGACAATGCATGACGCCTCTTCAGTTTGCTCATCTACAGGCTACATATACATCATAGCAGGAAGGGGAGAACAACGTCAATACAACACCCTACGTTTCCAAGCAATAAATTACCAGAGTCAGTTTGAGGGCAGGCTTTCCTGAATTGTCCAGCATTGGCCTGGGATGAACTTGGTCTGTGATGTATGTCCGCCTGTAGATTTAAACACCACTTCTGTTCTGAGACCGTGGGTTGCTGAAGCAGGACGCTGGCTACACATTGCTCACCTGAGCCTGACGAACCCTAGGCAAAGGGTAACGATTGCCAGCTGGACTACATACAGTACAAGAAGTCCATGATTGTCAAAATGTCATTATGCGTCCTCATTCAAACCTAATGGTGCCTCATGTGCTAACGGGACTTGTAGAACCATACTTGAAAAATGGGAAAGACTTGGCAAAGAGTTTATGTGTATGGAGTGGTAGCAGACCACAACTACAGAGATAACATTTGTGTTCCTGTTCATTTCCTGGAAGAATGTATAACCAGGAAGTAAGTTCCAGGACAAAATGATATTGTCCACATAGATTGACATCATGGCTCACAGCTGGTAGTATCCTCATTGTTCCCAGGTAGTAGTCACTCTCCTTGAGCAATGTGTTTTTCTAACTGAAGGAGTCAAAATACAACACTAATTGTCCACTAGCTTTGCTCTTTAACCCGGTCTCTCTGAGGGTATACAGACAGTGAGTGTAAGCTTGGGAACTAACACACGCCCCCTGGTGTTTGCATGCAGTCATTGCATTCAGCAGATCCTGGAGGCTGTGCTACACTGCCATCAGATGGGCGTAGTCCATCGGGACCTGAAGGTGAGTAAAGCTGTTGGAGAAGATGAAGAAAGAGCCACACAGTTTCTAATGACTGTTCAGCTTCAGTTATACCCAGAAAGGCAATCATTCAAGCAATACAGTTATGTGGACTAGTTCCACATATGAATCCAAGGGCTTCTCCTACCACAACCTTAGTTCATCTTCTAACATATCCTCAAGACTGATAAATCCCTAGCTTTTGGAAAGAGTTTCCTAACATTAACAATAAATAATTTATTTCCATACCCCAGGAAATGGGCATAGAATTTAAGATGACTTTAAGATTTATGATTTTCTGTACACATGGATCAAACATTTATCTTACATTTGTACTATACATCCAACATTATATAAATAATTTTAAAAAGTATTAACATAGGCTTAGGTTCAGTGATTAAGTGCCATTTTGAACTCTGAACTCTTTCCCCTGTCATTGATTCTTGGAATTCTCGGACTGTAGGCGTTTTGATTCTTTTATTTGTATTTCTAAGGGATAAGATACTAAGATCTCCTAAAAATAAAGAAGGAAAAAGATTGTATCCAAGCATATAGAACACAGGTTTATATCTTTTCAATGGGAGCCCACTGACTTGGAAGTTTACTGTTCTTGTTACCACTGAGAACAAGAAGACTGTGGGTCATTTGCACTGACAGGCTAGGGGAGTCTGCCACTAATTTTCTGTCCCAATCTGCTAATAACTTTAGGTTTACTTTTGATATTTTTGAGAAACAGTGAAACCTGCAATAGTAAATGAAATAAATCGAGAGAGTGCGGGGAAGGAAGCCGATTACTACACAGTGTACTGGAGTTTCAGCTCTTTGTTTGCAACCCCAGCATGTCCAGGCATCAGTACAGAGGCAATGTATTGTTCAGTGGAAGGACCTGGAGCCCTTGCCCCACCCCTACTCTCTCTCTTACACACACACACACACACACACACACACACACACACACACACACTTTCTTCTGGGACTGTAATAAGTAGCAGATCTGTAGTCTTACTTAATATTCAATGAGACTATTCATCAAAATACCCTACATTATTAAGTGAAAGTATGATTTTTACCAGAACATTGACTTTGTTTTCCAGAATCTTTTTTAATTTCAGTTGCTTTCTGTGAATTTGAGCTGTAACAAGCAAAGCTATGGTTGACAGTGTTTTCTCTGAGTGAGTCAGGATAGGATATCACACACTTTCTGACACGTACCACATAGACCTATTAGGATAAAGAAAAACAATGTGTGCCTTTGAAAAGTCCTATCCTGGCCAACAGGATCAAAAATGTATTAGTGGTCATGCGAGTGAACAGTCAGAAGCCCTTTGTATTACCTGTCAGCATGCATTGGACTTCTTACCCATCCTGTGGGCTTGAGTGTATATGCATACTATTCATGCTGTTTTATCAGCTACTCCAACACCCACATGAAACATTTTACTGCATTGATGTGACCATATGTGTATTCTAAAGGCAAACATTAAAAAGTGGGAAATTCTCGTCCCTTAATTTTATGGCTTATGTTATGGGATCAGGACATGGATTTGCTGTTATGTGTACAAAATTAGTTAAGCCCTTCAAAAACCAGAACTCGAAAATCAAAAATGATAGTGGCCTAGGACATTGACTGTGAAGGGAACAGTCTTCTGGCATGAGATCTAAGCTCAGTAATAAAAAATGCAGGCAAGGTTCACTACCAAAAGAAATGGTATGAACCCTGGTTTCTCCATCCTGTCTCTCTTGATTTTCAGAAAGTATAGAGATGGACTTTTGAGAGCACTTACTGCAATCTCTGTAACTGCCGACCTAATTCTATCAAACTGATTACTTGAACAGACTCCTTCAATTCTCTGTGCTTGTCAGTAGACCACTTCCTACTTGTACTAATAGACTTTACAATAGAGTTTACAACTTGTACAATAAAGACACTGTATGCGTGTGTACATGTGCTAAACCCCTGACTTTTTTACCAAATGAATACATTTATATGGGATAATGGACTGCTGGAAGTTCCACATTTACCAGTGTACTCAAATATAAAGACCTTCATCACCAGGCTTCAAAGCAAGCTTCCCCCACAGTTCCTACACCTTCTGTTTCTATTTCTTTATCCTGACTCATATGTTTGTTCACATAGAATTCAGATACTGAATGCATGTAGTTTAGTTCATTTAAATCACTTAAGGAAGAGCATAGGCCGGGATATGTTTATTATCACTATCAAAGGAATTTATGGCTGCTGTCCATTTTAAGGTACTCCTGTACCAACAGCTATGTGACTGACTCCATAGTGCCTAGCAGAGGATCTTAACCTAACCAAGGCTTGAAACATATTTCTTCAACTTAGAAACAGTTAAGTTCAAACAAAAGTATAAATGTATATAAAGCACATTTGTAATGTAAGATCAATCTTAATAGATTATCCACAAAAAGGATAAGTATATCTTAAAAGAACAATAACACTATTTCAAATACTTGATTAACTGCCAACCTCAGGAATCTATGAGATACAAAATTATAATAAGCATGCAGAACCAAAACTAAGGCATAGCAGGCAAACTGGGGAAAAGAAAACAGAGGATGGCTCCAAATTGAGGGAGGAGATAGTCACCACCCGGTTGTTCTCAGTGGACATGTGTTTTATGTCCAGCAGTATTTTATGTACCCAGTAGTGGGGCCATTGGTTGATATCTAGATAGGATTAGAGCTTCTAACAGTAAAGACTAGATTATAGCGTAGTTTGGTAAGTAGGAAGTGTCATGACACAACTGAAGCTATTAGCTACTGTGTATCCCTCAGTAGAGCTACTTTCGTAATGGCCTCTTTTCTGAGTAGCAAGTAATAGAAGAATCATCGTGTAGATAGGTAAACAGATGCTTGGAAGGTAAATGGGTGAATAGATAGAAAAGTATTAGGTAGCTTGGATCGATGGCTAGATGATGGTAGATAGATGATCGATAGATAGATAGATAGATAGATAGATAGATAGATAGATAGATAGATAGATAGTAGACAAATGAATACTTTAATTTTGGAGATGTTTATGACTACATCATAGAAATTTTTGATTGGAGTAGAAAGAAATTAGTTTTCAGAGCAGGAGTAATGCAAAGCATCCAGTAAGCTTTTTGTTAGCCGTGCATAGGAGACACATTACATTGTGAATTGTAAATTTTGAATAGTTACAAAACTCCTTGTCCTGTTTTCCTCAGAACCATCTTTGGATAAGAGCTTAAAGGACAATCATTTATGCATAGCATTTGTCTAGCTGTCTTAGAAGAGCTGTATGTGAAAACCCAACACATTAGGGAACATTCTGTCCTTTATTGTGTATCTAGGGTGCGTGAGGCGGTTGAGAAGCAGTGGCAGTGGGCACAGTCACACCAGTTACAGTCTGCATCCCTCATTCAACTCAGAAAGGTGTGTTCACCACAGACATTGAGAGGCAGGAATGGGATGTGGAATTCCAATGGATCGTCCTGCTTGTGCATGATACCAAGAATATGGTTTTCTGATTGAAAACTCAAAAGTTGGCTTCACTCAGAAGTTCTCTGTTCTCAGTACAGGAAATCAGGAATTCACTCCTATAAAACAAACAAACAATGAATAAATGGATGGTAGATAGATGAATGCTAAACCTGCCTGGACCAGTGCACTAATGGAACAAGAGAAGATGGTGTTCAAGCTTTTCAGTTTGTGCAAAATTCCATTTAATGCATTCCTGGGACCTTAGCTCATACCTTCTCCTTCAAAAGAAAAGGTGACCAAAAACATCCCAAAGCAGAGAATAGCTACCTTCTGATTGTATTACTGAGATTTTAAAATAAAGAAAAAGAATTTTGAAAGACTTTTCAGATTTATTATAAATAGTATGTAGGAGAATTTAACCATCATATAATCTGTCATGATAAAATCATTTGATATTGTTATAGTAAAAATAGTAACAGTAAATCACTCATTTGACATGTATGTTACTAGTTATTGAGTCTTAGCATATAGACAGTGATTTCATGTGTACCAGATGTTCCCTGTGACTTGTGCTCATGTGATCATTGCATTCTTCCTGATTAGCTCCCTAATAAAGGCAATGCTCATTAAAGACTAGAGATTAGGATAATATCTTATGATTCCTAAAGTCTATCTTATTTTATTTAGATGTAGTTAACAATTATTTTTGATTATTTCAAGAGTTTCTTAAAGTACCTACCAGATAGACTGCCTTATGAAAACGAATCATATTATACCATCAGAACGGAATGTGAGTACTGTCTTAATCAGTGATCTGTTGCGGTAAAGAGACAGTATGACTACAGCAATTCTTATAAAGGAAAGCATTTAATTGGGGATTGCTTACAGTTCAGAGACATAGTCCATTGTCATCATGGTGGGGAGCATTGTAGCATTCAGGCAGACATGGGGCTAGACAGGGAGCTGAGAGTTCTACAACCAGATCTGTAGGCAGCAGGAAGAGAAAGATTCTGGTCTTGGAATGGGCTTTTTGAAACCTCAAAGCACAATCCCAGAGACACACTTTCTCCAATGATGCCATACCTCCTAATCCTTTCAAATGGTGGCTGCCACTCACGCTTGACCGGGTCTTCAAATCCAGGAGTCTATGGGGGGATATTCTCATTCAAACAACCACAAGAACTAATCTATAAAAAAAGAACCAGGGGCTGTGGAGATGTCTCAGTGGGTAAAATGCTTATTGCCTAAGCATGAGGAACTGATTTTGGATCCCCAAGGCTCAGATAAAAGCTTGGTACAGCATTCCTGTGATCCAGACACTGCAAAGCATAAACAGGAGGATCTAAGAGACTCACTGTCTAGCCAACATAGCAAGTGACTAAGCTCCATGTTCAGTGATAGACTCCATCACAAAAAGGGAGAGTAATAGAACACTCCATATTGGCCTGTGTATACAGGTGCATCACACACACATCACACACACACACACACACCCCTGTGTGCTCCAAAAGATGGAGAAATTAAGAAGTCAAGCAAGAAGTGCTGGGATCTTCTGGGATGTGTCCTACCTTTATGAACTGAGGCTTGAGATTTTTTTTTTCTATTCCAAGTTTCCACCAGGTCTAAAGGTCGTTTTATAACTTGCTTAAGTCCTTTAAGATATGTTAATAATCTCAAAGTCTTTACAACATCCTGAAAGCTATTGCTTTTGTATCCATATGAAATACAGAACCAACCTTGTACACAGTTGCTGCTCATTGCAGCTGATATGCTATAAATGGTTGTTGACTCCGAGACCAGATGTCATGGAAAATCTTGCACCATTAAGAAGCAATGGGGTGGAGAAGGAACCTGTGTATGAGAAGATCAGGAGAATCTATTTAAAAACCAACCTAAAATGTGGTTTCATTGTTAGAGGATAGAGATCACTGTACAGACTGTAGACTAACATCAGAATTAATCTCAACATTTCTTCAGTTTTTAATATGCATTCCAAGTTGAAAATGTTTCTGCACATTGAAATGACAGGGGAATGTAATACCCAATCACCATGTACATATCTTCCCTACAAAGTATGTGTTCTTATGATACAAATCCACTCGATATTGTCATGAGATGTAATTCAGTAGCCTCATAAGACTACTGCAGAGATGAGGGAAGTGAGCAGGCAATGACAGGGTCCAATCAGAGTGAGAGTCAGGACGTGAACCTTGAGTTCACATTTCTTTTCTGATTCATCACTCTGCCCAATTCCTTCATGTTGTTGAGCCTGTGTTCCCGTGCAGGTGGGTTGGAAGGTTTGTGCTTCTGATCCTGCCTGTCACGTTCATCCTAGAAGGTCAAATCAATGGGATAGTATCAAAATTACATGGCAGAGATCCTTCACCAAGAGGCAGCCACGCAGTCATCAATATTCAATTTGGTGTAACCTGGTCACAATACATTCTCTTCTTAGGCATTCAGAGTCTGAACTACTCAGCCACAGACCTGTATAGTACAACATAGTTTCATGTGGAAAGTTAGGAGTGGTAGATAATCCAAAACACATGTGCCAGTCCCCACTGAATGTTTCTTTAAAAATTATTATTAAGTCAGCCTTCTACACCCTAACAGACCATGATAGAACACTTATTCTAACTGGCCTTTTTTTTAGAGTAGAAAGAAACTCTACGAAAGTAAAATTTATGTTATATATATATATATATATATATATATATATATATATGGTTTTATTAAAGCTAGCTACTTAAAGCAATCTTACAATGAAACACCAAGAAACAGATTCCTTTGATAAAATTAACAGCTACTCTAACTTTTCAGCTTCCATTCCATATTGTTTATGTTGGGTTTGCCTACATGATAGTCCCAGATGCAATGCTATCTCCGTGCTATTAATGTTAAAACGTATCCCATCCCTTGTGGGGTAGGCCTGCCTTCTCCTGTGCATAGCTGCTGCTGAACAGTCTACATGGGTGTCAGGTGAAACTCACATCTCAATGGATTCTTTTTTCCCCGCCTTTGGATGACTCACAGGTCCTAGAGTAAGGCCTTCTAGGTTATCTCTAGCTGTGAATACTGTCCCAGTCATTCAGAGATCATACATGATTAAACTCTATAGCATCCTTTTTTTATGAATACCTAAGACTTGGTTTTTATGGGCCTTGTGCATAGACCCCTCCAGAAGCTTTTCAGTGTAGTGGTAAGAGTAAAAGCACATTAAATTATAAAAGAGCTTACTCACTAATGACAGTGGCATTTGTTCAAGTAACTTCTATTCCGTTAGACTTAAAGGTCCTAAAAATGACCATGATTTCATAAGTGGTTGGTACTCGTTTTGTGAATGAGTCTGTGGTTGGCAAATTTGATTAGATGCATCTTAGCAGATGACTCTGATATCTCAGTTCTGTGGAATGTGAAAGTTCCAAAGGAGGAGAATCAACACTTGCCTATAGTTCAATGTACTTGGTCCAAGTTATTTATTTATGGAATTATGGGAAATTATGTCCATTAAATTAGAAAACAGAAAGCAAGTTGATCACAAATATTAGTTGTGCAATTAAAATTTCAGAAGTGAACAAATTTAGCCTGACTAAAGATATTAGCACACTGATAAATATCCAGAGTTCCAATTTTAAACATTATGTCATAATAAAAGTTACATCAGCACAGAGCACTTTTGCATTCTTGAAACATATTCCTCTGAAACTCCAAATTACATGACGTGTTTAATGTTGAGGTAGTTCAAAACCATACTTCAGTCTTGAAAAGCTACGAAGGTCCTTTTACATTTTCAGTGGTGACAATAGTATGAATCTGATGGCAGTGAGCAGCAATGGCCTGAAGAACTCTGGTATTTATTTAAAACTTGCTTGCTCACACTCTAAGTTCTTAACGATTTAACCTAATTTCTTCTAAGTGCTGCTTATGGGTTTTGCTGTTTTGCATGGCTGGCTTAATTAATAAATACTGGTTTAGGCTGTGTTTACTCAAGTCCAAAACAACCCACAAAATTGACAAATCTACCGAGTAGTCAACATGATGAAAACTATGAACTTTCTTGTTTGTCAACATATAAACAGAATCATTTGGCTGATAAAGTTTTCATATTTTCAGAGAACAGTTTTGGCACTTGGGAGGGCCATTGTTTCCCAACTGTTTGGGATAGGCTCCAAATTCACTTTTTTTCCCCCTCAAAGCAGAAAGACTTTGAGCCAGTCTTCCATGTGCGTGCCAGCCCAGTCTTATTCATCCAGATGTCTGGGTGGGCTAGGCTTCACTGTACGGAATACTCAATACTCTTTCTCTAAGCATCTCCTCACTCTGTTTCTTAAAATCCACGAGCAAGTCCAGAGAAATTGAAGGCTCTGTCTCAATGCTTATTTTCAAAATTCTAGTGTTGGTTGGGAAGCAATGGTGTAGACACAGCCTCATTCCAAGACCGATTTATTAGTCCTTGAGGAATGATCGATACCAAAGAAAAATGTGTCTAACTCGCAGTATTTTAGGTGGGAGAATAAATATCTGTGTAACGGTTTAGTCACACTTTAAAAAATGTAAATTACATAGTAAAAAAGTGGCATATAAATTTTTGTTTAAAGTTAGCTATAACATTTGGCAAACAATATACTCTTTCTGCCTTTAAGAACAAACAGATTCTTAAAGACAGCCATTTTGATACACAGTTCAGAGTCAGTCTCCAAAATTTGTTCAGAAATTGTTTGGAAACATTGAGGAATCAAAATCACTACATTTGAATCCAAACTCTTTAAAATCAAATGGGATTTAATTTGCATTTTCTTTTGCCAAATGTCTGTAGGTTGGTCCAACTTTAGGTATCATTTTGCCAGGTTTTCTCATGCTGAAAATGCCTGTGCTCTGTTTGGCTTCTAAGTCCTTGTCATTGGCCAAGTGTGCACCTTGAATGGTCCTTGAAGGCATGTGAGCAGGTGGAGACAGCAGCCCTACTAACTGCATCCTTCCCTGTTGCCTTTGCAGTGCCCTATGAGTCTGTCTGAAGCCTGCAGACATGATTGCTCTCCACAGTTTTCTAACCATCCTTTCCCTGGGATTTAGGAATGGAAATCTCCAGGAGAGACAACAGTGCATGGGTTTGCCTCCCAACCCCCTCCCCTGCCCCACCCTGTTTAATCTTGTACAAATGTTGACAATTTTAAGTAGTCACTTAAAATAGATTCTCACTTTAGTGTCTCTCTCTCTCTCTCTCTCTCTCTCTCTCTCTCTCTCTCTCTCTCTCTCTCTCTCTCTCCTTTCTAAATAAAGCCTGAGAATTTGCTTTTAGCTAGCAAATCCAAAGGAGCAGCTGTGAAACTGGCAGACTTCGGCTTAGCCATAGAAGTTCAAGGAGATCAGCAAGCGTGGTTTGGTAAGTAGGGCCTACTCTCCTTCCTGCAACTGCGCCCTCCCAGCCTGGAACTCCTGGTCCCTTACAGTCAGTCTCTAGCCACACAGGAAGGGCCCTCTAGCAGCGTCTTCTCTAATTTTAACACATTGGACCTGATGTTAAATTGGCCTATAATGAGAAAATAACGTAAGAAAAAAAGCATTGAGAAAACAAGGTCTTTCAAACTTTGAAAACTAGTTTATGGTAAAATAGATTTCGTTCTAAGACTTAACAGCAGGGCTTAAGTGTGCAATATGACCTCCACACATGTGTGGTGGATGTAAGTGCTCTCCTTATAGTAATAATAAATAATATTTTAAAGTTTAATCCAGAGATGACAGCACATGTTTATAACCCCCACAACTGGGGAGAAAGAGACAGACAACAGGATCATGGAGCTCACTGACTGGTCAGCTTTGCCTGCTGAGTGAGCTCCAGACTACTGAGAGACCCTGTCTCAGAGATAAGATGGATGGTACCTGAGAAACTGCACCTGAAACCTCTGGTTGTCCTCTGGAACACACATACTAGTGCATGTCACTCTCATTTTTGATCCCATGTACTTGAATCCTTCTATTTTTCACTCTCTAACTCTGATATCATTGAATACTGGGTACAACTGTGAGAATTGACATTCTATGGAGCACATTTGATGAAATTATAAAAATTAAAATGAGTCAAATGACCACAGAAGCATACACATATATTCCATTCCTCCTAAGGAACTGGATGGAAAGGGTATCTTCAGTAGGTTTTTAACATTTTGTTGTTGCTGGGGCAGTAGAAGCTCACTACCATGATCTTGCCTCATGAAAGAATTACTTTAGTGACAATTATTCTTCTCACTTTAAATATTAAGTGAGGAAGAGAATCTATTAGATATATTTCCAACAGTTGTCTTTATTTCTGTTTTAATATTCCGGTTCGTTTTTTGGAGTAAAAGTCATATTATCCCTGGAGACAGAGTGTTCTTATTAACATTGATAGTATATATAACAGTCCTACATTCTTAGGAGCTAAATCTCCTGATGAAGAAGACCTTGCCTACTGTGCCTCCAGAAAGCTATATTCACTATGTATTTTTTCCTGAAATCCATACACTTGGATGTATGATTCAGAATATTTAGACTAGAGTCAACTGACAGTCCAAGTAATAGAGTTCTAAGTAAGAGTAAGAATGATATATAGCATTTTCTTGACATTTTAGTCTCAGGGTAAGGGTTCATATATTTTATATTTGTATTTATTTGTTTCTTCAGGCTCATCACAATCCTATGATCTCTGTGCCCCAAATGCTGGCATTTTATACATGTGTGCTACCATCCTTAGCCTGATTTTTCCATTTCTTATTGTTAATGGAGTAATTTTCCTCTATGTCTTTTCTAAAGAGAAAGTTATTAACTCTCCTGTTCTTGGCCATCTATTATGACTAGGTTACTTAAGGCAAAGAAGGTTACTAGGTTACTAGGTTTAAATCATGGACTTCATGGATTGAGTATGAACGAGTGAAACTGAGTGAGACAAATGTCGACATCTAATGAGAACGATGATGGAGCCAAGCCAGGACTCAGATATTAGCATCATTACAAGAATGAGAGGACCACTTCCAAGAGACCTTAAAGGGGCTTCTCAGGCCAAGAGCTCAGAACAAAAGCACATTGGATGTGTGAGAAGGATCTGAAAGCACATAGGTCTTCCTCAGAACTTTACATGAATCTTCATTGGATTCTCTGTGTATCATTTGTGAAGCCTTGGGAGAAGTGTGGTGAAAGTAGAAAGGATATATGTGGTATACAGTATTCCAGGGGCAAGAAGAGCCTCTTCCAGCAATTATACCTGCCCCGACTTTTCAATGACACCACATTATGCCCTCAGGAAGTCCTTGACCTTCAGGCAGTGGAACCTCAGTGGATTAATGATAAGCCTTGTAAAACTTAAGCTGTCCAGAGAGGCCCTGCCCTGGAGTCCTTTCTTTGGTTCACCACATCCTTCCAAACAGAGGAGAGAAAAGTAATAAAATGAATGAAGATTAGGCAAAAATAAAATAAAATCATTGGCTTTTGTTTAATCTGATTTTGTTAGAGAAGTAACTTGGTCACATATCTTCCTTCTTGTATGTATTTGTTTTGTTGTGGGTCTTTTTTTTCTGTAGTAAGTATAAGTTCATTGTAGATATGAGGAATGATTTGTTTCTTGGATGCTTAGCCTCCCAGTAAATAAACACGGTAACTCTGCATTAGTTATTAGTTTATGGTTGGAGGAACCTCTGCTTGAATGTTCTCTTAAAGAGACTTTCCATTTTTGCCTTTTAAAGGAGCATTTTCAAATGAAAATGGTTACCTTTGTTATTTTTAAATATTCTTCATTTGAAAACTCATTTTCAGAAGAAGAAAATATTTTCCACTAGAGTCTAGTTACAAATTTTATTGTTGCTTAAGCATTCCTTATTGGATTCTAAATTGCTTTGTATAATAACAAGGTTTTCTTTGCCATCCACCCCCCCTTACTCTGTCTTCTGAAGTTGAAGGTCTTGTTGGTCAGCATTCAGTGGTGATTCATCTGAATGTTCCTGGGTCTCCACTTAGTTGCCAGCTATGAATACACCCTGGTTATTTATTAGTACACATTGAACTGATATTTTTCTGGGCTTATTTCTTCTCAAAATGAGTTCTTCAGTTACTGGTAGTCCAATCCCTACCCTCCTGACCCTGTATCCAAATGATACTTGTTTTAAAATATATTTTCTGAAATTTTTCTGTTGATTTGTCTTAGTATGTGCTTGGCCAGTCCACCTCTTTTATAGGTGACTTCCATAAGCATTTCAGTGTCACCTTTTGCAAAGAACTAAACTACCCTCAGTTTTCTCATTATTTTTTTTTTACAGATTTAGTTTGAACTTCCATATAAGCAATGTTAAAAACATACAAAATAATGTATCCCTATATCACAAAGACTAGATGTTATAGTAGATCCAATGTGTGTGTATATGTGTATACGTGCACGTGAACACACTCTTTCAAATAAGATACATGGTAGGACAAACAGAGCTTATCTTCAGTTAAAGAAGGCCCCTAAAGCATCCTTTCTTAGTTGATCATTTTCTACTGATGTTGTCCTTGCCAACCCTGACTCATGAGCATCTGTTTTCCCTAGGTTTTGCTGGCACACCTGGGTATCTTTCTCCAGAAGTTCTGCGTAAAGATCCTTATGGAAAACCAGTGGATATGTGGGCATGTGGTAAGAAATTATATTTTTAAGCAAATTTTGTAATAGACCAGTGTTTTCGTCAATTTGGGCTGCAATAACAAAACACCAGGGACTGACTGGCTTAAATAACTAAAAAGTATTTTTAATGATCCTAGAAGCTGCAAAGCCTAAAGTCGTGGTGCCTGTAGATTTACTGTCCAGACAGAGTACACCTCTGGATTCATAGATGCCTATCTTCTGTTTTGAGTTCACACATGGTAAAGAGTCTTCATCATAAGGGCATCATAATCTGAGTCATGAAAACTTTTTTCCTACTAAAGATTTCACTTCTGATTTCATCATAACAAGGTTAATGATTTCACCATGTCAAGCGGGGGAAGGACACAAATATTCTGTAGCAAGCATTGTTGTTAGACTTGAACTCAGAACCTTTCAAACTTTAGTCTCCTAAAAGATTTATGGAGAGATAGGTAAAGTATATCTTGTGGTTTTGATTAGGGCTGAGGTGGGCAAGTTGACATATCTAGAAGTGCTCTGGTGACACCAGTGCTTTATTTTAGAACACTGAGAACACAGATATGGAGAGCTGTATCCTGGTTATTTGCTCACATGACTGAGCCAACCAGTTTTTCTAACAGAAACTGTTTGCTTAGGATATTTGGCAAGAATTCCAAGAATGAGAATAAATCTTGAAAATAATGAGTGAGTAAAGTCTGATTTCCGCCTTAATCTGCCAACCCTAACTTTAAAAAAAAATAAAAATAAAAATCCTGGGCAGACTTAGCCATACAAGGGGGAGAATTGCAACATCATTTTTCATAATAACATTTTTATGTGTTGACAAATTCTTCAAATAGATGGAAGACTGAAATAAGGGGAATTCTATGGGTTGCTCTCAATATTTTTCTACTAAGGTTCTCAGCACAGCCTAGTGTTCTAAGCCTTACACAATCCCCTTACTACTGTCTAAAAATAGGTGTGACCTACCAAAGTCTGGCTATGGTGTGCTGTAGGTATGTTTAAGTACTGCATTTGTCGGCAAACCTAGAAGATGATTTTAAAATTGATTTATAGGTTCCAGAAATAACTTCTTCGATTCAGTTTTACTTTAAAAGAAGTATCTCTGTCAGAATGATATGCTATCCCATACTCTCTTCCTTGTCAGCTTTATATCGTTAGCAACAACCTGATATTTAATGACAAACTGGGAGAATCCAGTGTGTTCTGAGTTCCCTCCATATATAAAAAGGTGGTTATGAGAATGCGATGTATTTATAATCATGTCTGGCTGACAGCCTTTGGTTTTTGCTAACTCTAAATATCCATGATTTTTTCCCTTTTGACTATAAAATAAGAATATTAAACCCTCACAGAATTGTGGGAGGGTCAGACACGTCACATATTTAAAGAAAACATTTTACAGTGTGTAAAGCAGTATAAAATGCAAAGTCATCAACGTTCTGAAGGTTTAGAAATAACACTTAAAATCAAAGGCTGAGGTCTTAGATGTATCTCAAGCCCTCTCTTCCCTCTGCCTTCCTGAAGCTGTTTTTTAAAGGTGAACTCCAAGGTACCTGTGATTGAGAGCTGGTGCCAACTGTTCTTTTCCAAGTCTTTAATACTAATGACGTAGGTAGCTCAAACATTTCTCTTATACTAGCTCCCCGCCCAGATTTGTTTCTACTGATGAATTTACAAGAAGCAGATTGGACCATGACTCAGGCTGACTGACAGTAGCAGGTCTTATGGAATATAGTCATATTCTTGAAAATATTTGGAAATATAGTGGAGTCATGTTTTGTGAAGTATGGTGGTGTGTAGATAGAATGGCATGTTTGGATCTTAAACTCTATAGGGACCATGTGGGAAGTTACTGGTCTGGAACAAGAGGCGAGTTACTGAAGTAGTAAGGCCAGTGTCCCAGCTCTGGGACTCCTAAAAAGCTAGACTTGGTCACCCACTTTAAATGCTAAAGAGACTACTAAATAGAAAAGCAGAGACAGAAGATTTAATCAACGTGACCACACTGATCAGTGTGAATAAAGAGGGTCCATGACCCCCAAATCTGTTTTTGGGGTGTTGGTGGTGGGATAAGTGTAGCTGGGAGCAAGCTATAGACACGATTAAGAAGCCTCTGTCAGAATGTGGCTTGCTTATCGCTCAGTTCAGCGATGACTGAAGAACTCTTATTTTTAGGGGACAAGTTGGTTCTCATGTACTGCTCCAGGATGCAGTCTGGCCATCAGAGATAATTGCTTCCCTTTATGGGTGGGCTGTCCTACCAGATTTTCTTGTAACTGGAATCCAAGGTATCTGGAGGTTGAGGACAATGGCTTGTGTTTGTGTGTCTTCAGCCTTGAGGAGTCGAGTGTTACAGGCTTTTACATAGAAACTCCTTGAATGATTAGCATTCCTATGAGGAATTAAACCTGAGTCGGACCCAAAGCAAATAACGTAAATAAAGTAAAAGGGAAGAGACTATGGACATCTTTTAGTCACGTGTCTAGAAAGTCACCAGAGGCCACGTGGTCCATTGCTACATTCAACTAAATACTCTCATAGCACATGTTGAGGGAAGTGACCACCACTGGGCACAGCTTGTTATGATTTTTTTTTTTTTACATTTCTTGATCATTGTTACTTGTCTCAACTCACTGTTTGACATTCTTTTGTTCTGTCCTCTCAGGTGACATGAAGGAATATTAAATTTAGTTGTAAAATGGCATCTTCTTCCTTACTATTTTTTATTTTAGCTTATGGCTTGCTTTGAGGGTAAACTTTTTCATTCATCAGCTCTTCTATCTATAGCCAATTAGGTTTTTTTGTTGTTGCTGTTTTGTTTTGTTTTCAAAAATAGATACTGGATTCTGTGGTAAGAAATGATGTTAGCTAAGATTTTTTTTTCAGCCGGGCGGTTGTGGTGCACGCCTTTAATCCCAGCACTTGGGAGGCAGAGGCAGATGGATTTCTGAGTTCGAGGCCAGCCTGGTCTACAGAGTGAGTTCCAGGACAACCTGGGCTATACAGAGAAACCCTGTCTCGAAAAACAAACAAACAAACAAACAAAAAACAAAAAAAAAACAAGATTTTTTTTTCTAAAGAAAAAAGCAATTACAGCGAAAGAGCTATTATTTAATGTAATTTAGGCTGTAAACATTCACCATAACAGGGTCTTTGTCATATTAGTGGTTGACACAGATCAGTGAAGCAAACATGGATATAGAAACTGAAGGAAGGCTGTACTGTAGAAGTTAGGTCTGGCTTTTTCTCCCAGCCCCATGCTCCCAGAAGTATGTCTTAGACTCAACATACATTTACCAATACTTTAGCCATATAGCTAGGCTTTTCTATTATTAGATCATAACTTAAATTACCCATTTATTCTAATCTATGTTCTGCCACGTGGCTAATTACCTGTGCTCAGGTACCATGCATCTACTTTACCACATTTTCCCAGGGCAAATCTTTCATGCCTGGCTCTATCCCAGAATCCTTTCTGTCTCCTGGATGCTCCACCTCCTATTTACTGCCTAAGCCATAGACCATCAGATTTATTACTGACAGGTGCCATTTCCATACAGATGTAAGACATTCTTTCTACACTGTACACTATGCACTTGGGAAATCTCAGCGCCACCATTACCTTGCTTTTATGGTCTCAGAGTATGGTCTGACTGCTACCTCCTCTTTAAAAGCAACCAGTCCATTAGTGAAATGTAAATATTAGACACAGAGGAAGCCAGAACATAACCCTGTGTTCTGCCATTACCAGTAGTAAATTGGTTTTAATGGTTTTCTTATATATAAAGAAGCTTCCATAAGTCCTTACTGGGACAAGCAAATGTCTATAGATGTCACTGGATTGCTGGCTTCTAATAGAGTTCCTCCCATAAAAACATTTCTTAAAAATAAAAGCTAGAAGGAGGGGGAGGGATCCAGTAAGCATAGGCTTGCCTCTTAGAGTATAATCATGCTTCTTAGGGCTTGATTTGTCTTATTCCATGTCGTTCTGAATGATCATGAATAACAGTATGTCACTAATGGCCATAGAATGTACCATAACTTTGGCCAAACCTTTGGACTATTATGGGCCATGTTTCTTCTTTTCTTGCATAGTGAACTGTGTCTCGGTAGCCACATAACTCCAGGGAAATAGCCTTTTCCTACTTCAGCTGCAATAAATAAACATTGGGCGTTTTGTTACTCTGAAATCCCAGCCCAATTGACAGTAAGCTGCTACTGTCTGTGCTATAGCTGCCTGACACTGGGCCATCAGTTTATCACCATCTTCAACAGTCACCACCCAGAGGGCCTTGTGCTCAAATATAGTCTTTAGCAATGCCCTCCTCCTTAGGATGAATGACATCTTCTTAAATGTCTCAGTAAGACATTTAAGAATGTATATGTGTAATTTCCCAAATTTGATGCTTTTCAGACTGTACTACACACTATAATTCAGTATGTTCTGATGTTATATCAAAAGTTCACCTTTCTGGGACATGCCCCGGAAGTATTGGATAAAACTCTCTGAGGTCATATGATCCAGCAACCACACTACAAGACTTGGAAGCAGAGACTTGAAAAAATTGTGTCTGCCTGTATTCATAACAGCATTATTCACAAGAGGGTAAACATACCTATTGACAAGTTTATCAATTAAGCACTATGCCATATAGAGTAGTATATTATATTGCTATGAAAAGACAGGAAACGTTCTCATGTGCACTACCAGATGGATGAATATCAAAGGCATTCTATTAGTGAAATAGAAGAACAGCATAAAACACAAACCTGCATGAATGTGTTCAGGTATCTGAAGTAGTTTAATTCACAAAGCCGGAAAGAGGGAAGGTGTCAGTATTGACAGACACAAGCCTTTGGGAGAGCTGCTCTTAGCACTACGAATCTATTTGACACCACTGAACTGCGCTCTTGAAAAACCATGCATCTATTTCATGTACCACATAATGTTCTATGTTAAATGTGCTTTCCTTTAAAAAGGACAACTGCAGTAGAAAAAGTCTGTTAGA